TATATATAATTGTATCTATGTCTCGTGCACTTTTTGTAAGTGTTGTTGTGTATATACGTATATGGATCTGTTTGTTTGCGTGGATACATATTAATGTGTACTTATGTGATTTTTGTTTCTCCTTAAATAAAAAAACGCATGTAGCACTTATTTACGTGCGAAGTATATCTGAAATATATGGAAGAGTCTTGGATCAACATACTCATCTGTTTATCGCAAGTATACGATAGAGGAAGTGAGTATATCATTGAACTCTGAATAGAATTATAAAATGGTTTGCGATTATTTGCGAATTTGTCAAGGTGCTTGCACACATAAACTACATACTATGCTGATTACCCAGGAGATTGAGGGATTATTATCTGGCTGGGTACCTGCCGGAAGCATAGTGGAATTGAAAGGTGGGTCAATCTGCATCTACAGCTGAAAGAGTGCTTGTAACTATTGTCTATTCGAGGGCTCTCGTCTAATTCGCGTCCTTTTTCCAGTGACTCTGTTATGGCAGTTCCCTTGTTTAACAACGACTTCCACACTTTGGGCAGCCTATCTATGTGCAAGCTTTGGAGATGCTCAGAGAATCGATTATGGGACTGGTCATGAAGCGTCTTTCGCCTGCTTTCTGTATGTATAATGAATTACATACTGGTATTAAAGCTTTTTGTGTCGCTACTCTGAGGAGGCGTTTATCCGAAAGACCTTCGCCAACTGGTTTTTGTTTTTGTCTATTTCCTCTTTGCTTATCTCACAATTTTCTACTTCAGATACTGCCTAGAAAAACTAGGATTAATACAAGCTGAGGAATATACGGCTGTGGTTCTTCGAGTCTTCGTTAGGTGTGTGTTCGTTCCACAATTTATTTTGGTAAGAATCTTGTCTGCAGACATAGCACATTGATTCTCCCAAATTGAATTCAAAAATAGTGGCAAGCTAAGCTTCAGTTTTCCTCCCTTTTCTTGAATATCAAATAGATACATAGATCTTATGTATGAGCTACAAACCACTTATTGGCTGGAACCGGCAGGCAGCCATGGTGTTTGGGGGTTGGACGATTACCACTTCCTTCCCTTTTATTTCGGCTCTAGTCAATTAATGGGTGAGTTATTGTTGTGCATAGCAGCTTTTGGACCAATCTACCTTCACTATTGTCACTTCAAGGTGTGGATACTTGTAGCCAATGGTAGCTTTTTGCTATTCGTTGATAACTTGAATGGATTGCACTTTATTTCGTTTAATTGCAGGCCAGAAGTTTATCAGGCCTAGAGCTATACACCAAGCTGAAATTCTCGAAGAATGTTCCAAAGATTACCTATATCTCAGAACTATCGAGAATGTAAACAAGGTATAATATAGTTCAATGTGTAGCGAGCGTGACTTTTTTATGGGCTTATCTATTTCTTGATATTTTGTGTGCATGACAGTTTGCCTACGTGTTTAGATTATGTGCAGAAGTTGTATGCATCTGCGTATGGCATATTTGATTAGGAACTGTATACGACCGGATCACAAGAACTTCTTACTGTGACCTGAAATGGCAAAGCATTTTTGCGAATACACCACCGTTATGGTACAGGATGATTTAAAAATAGTGCATATGCACACTGCTCTTTCGGCCGTGTTGCTTAGTGGGCCGGAAGCTTGGCATAATATTTGACGCAAAAATTGATTTGCTCCTGGAATTGTTTAAACTCATTCGAGTGCCATCCTAAAGTTAGTTACATTTTTTTCTCGTTGCTATCCAGGTAAAGACCGAGAGTTTGGCATGGCATTCGCCTATGCTCAATGATATCAGTGCCGTTAAAACCTGGGATAAGATTAATAGTGGCCTTTTAAAAATGTATAAAGCTGAAGTTCTTGGTACGTTCTATGTTGCTCTCGAGGCATGTCTTATGTTGATGCGCGGGTTTCCAGTTTCGTACAAATTAGTTTTTTAAGTTCTCGGTGCGGAACCGCCTTCTGAGGTGCTACCTTCTGATTACAGATCGCCTTCCATTGTAAGTCAGTAAATTCTTGATTTTGAAATTAATAATTTTTTTTCATTGACAGGTAAATTGCCAATAATGCAGCATTTTTTATTTGGATCGCTACTTGCCTTCGAATCGACGGCCAGGAAACTCACAAACGAGGTAAATTACTTCGCAAGGAAACTGTTGAATATAAATGTACTTTCGAATGTGCGTATTTTTTAGCTGATTCCTCCTGTATTTCGATCCTAATGCTGTCGTGTATCCTTCTGTACGCCTTGAAGGAAATTGAGGAAGAGCATCGCAAGATGAATTATGCTGCAGGATGTTGTTCAGCGATACATATACCGTCTGTTCACGCGCAGTCTCAGCACTCCGAACGACACACGCATAGCTCAGGCCTGATACCATTCGATTAAAGAAAGGGCATATATATTTACTCGCCGGCTATGTCTTTAGGCTTTGGTCATCCCCATATATCGGAGATTCATACATTGACAAGTATGATGTGCATTGATCTACTAGCGGTTCAACAGAAGTTTTAAGGATACTCATCAGTTCGCAAACCGGCAGAAACATATACTGGGTTCATTTATCGAACAACAGGGATTGCTTTCGTTTTGACATGATACGAAGAGCTATCGATGTAACATGTGTACCCTTACCTTCAGTATTTATCCAGAGAATTACTCGCTGGTATCTGCCCCTGTGTGGACCCAATGTTCAATTCCAACACAGGCTTAGAGCTGACTTCGATTAAATGCGTCCTATCTGGGCAGGCACTTTCTCAGTATAGAAATAAGACGTGATTAATGCTGACTAATGAAGTATAGGCACCTGAGTTGTATTCTGCTGCCTCGATACCCAGAGGTCTATGAAACTCTACCTGCGATGGAAGAGACCCCAAATATCATTGCACCGACGACGAAGTCATTCTCCATCAGCCGCTACATATTGACCGTGTGGCGTGTGCCTTGCACATATTTAGTTTCCAATAGTAGCTATAATAAATCAGATATGAACAAATGGGTCACTATCGATGCTCTCCTAGTAATTATCATTATCGCCCTTGATGTTTTCGTCGCCTTCGGGCTATCTGAGAAATCAATTTGTAGGTAAACGTCAAACTTGCTCACAAGTGAAAGTCTAATTCGATTCGATGCACTTCGCACTTTGACATTCATTAAGTCAATGAATAGAGAACTTGGTACGTACTGCACCTACTCTCGTAAGCAAATGCAAAGTGGAAGATCAATACGATTTATAAGGCCAAGGACTCGACTACACGTTTCTTGCTTGTTAGCATCTCTTTGTCTGTAAATATATTGAATATGAGTTCTAATCATTCGACCAACTCGCTCACCAGAGTGGATATATATGACTCCACATCCCTCTTGTTTTCTGGATCTACGCATGAAGGAGGTAGCACAGATGCCTCCACCAAGATTGCCCTCGTATTTTCCAAGTTTGCGCGTGACATTGCGTTCGACTTTGTGTACACGACCCCGTCAAACCATATCTTTGCGTCCTCTAATGTTAACAAATGCTTTTTGCACACACGCGCTATTGATTTTTCTTCATTAGTCTTGAAAGACGTGCAAGCCTGGCGCAATCCATTGATGATGGTTTTCAGGTCGTCGACGTTGCTATTGATGTACTCACGCTTGGCCACCATAGAAAAGCATGGCCAGGGGGTGGGGATGCCACCGATAATGGACACTTCGCCGCGATCTTCGTACGGTTTGGTCGTGAAGGTCTCCCATAAAAATGCATCTATGCCACCACTTTGTACTTCCTCCCTGAGGGTAGCAAAATCATTGCACACCTTGAAAGTGGGTTTGGCAGCCCAACCACGCTGTGCTGCTAGCACATAAGCCATCACGTGACTACCTGACCCGTATCTACTGATTCCAAATACTTTACCTTCCAGGTCATCTACAGATAACTTTACATCAGCGCCAGTAGATATACCCCACACAAGAGGCGACGTAACATAATTGCCGAGCAATTGAAGGTCTCCCCCTTTCTCGATCTCAGCCACTAGACATTCCGTCAGCGCAATTGCAACGTCGATCTTGCCCTCGTACAGATGGGATAGCATGGCTCCAGTTCCGCCATTCACGGTCACAAAGTCAACATTGCGACCGCCGTATAGCTGAATGAGGTATAGTGATCAGACATTAGACTAATTAATACGAAAGTCAGACTATTGTGAAGAAAAAAAAGCTGATACCGACTACCAACTTGAAGTCATAATATTACAATGAACTGCCACGAATGAGCTAATGCACCTGACTATATAGAATTACTCGTATGAATAGCCCACGTAAACGTTTACTGTGTGATACGTCGTGCCAGCCTACAGTAGTAAAAAGAACAACACAAGTACATAACGCGATATGAAGCTTATGCAATACTTACAGTTCAATGACAAATACAGCAAAGGCGGCATTTACAATGACAGCACAGCTCGTGTGCTGTTTCTCAGATACGATCGTGTATTCTAGCAACAAGAATGGTTTTGGGTCGCTATTGTAGCACCACAAATTACCGTTGCCATCACGCGAAGATGAAGACAGTACATATTTGGTGGACGCTTTGGCTGATGTGTATGAACTTTCGCTGAGAGTCTAAGCTCCGAAATCGTGACCGTACAGACTCGAGCGAATATAGCGTATGAAGATACACATTTGAGAACTATTTAATTAGATAACACAAATTTTTCGGCAACAAAGTTGAACCGAAATCTCCTCACATACACGGGTCCGTTTCGAATGATATGTAAACAAAAGGCAACGAGCAACGATACAACTCATGGTCTAGGTAACCGCGGTTCATAAAAGTTATTGTATTGCCAAACTATACCATGAAGCCGCGGCCAAAAAGAATGAGACTTGAATAAATAATTCAGTATCGTAAGTAATTCGATCCACGTACGGGAGTGTGGAGACGAGTCTATAAACAATATTCAATAGACTGGTTGGTTGGATATCAGTAAGCCCTCGTTTTGTAACATCAGGTTGCTCCGTCACAGTCGAAGTCTCAAAACTGCGTATATCGGCCACGCTGGATATAATAAGCAAGATAGCAATACAGAGAAAGACACCAGACCAAATGGGAACGCCGCGATACTATCAAATATACATATATATATATATATATATATCTATATATATATATATATATATATATATATGTGTGTGTGTGTGTAGTTATATATATATATATATATATATATATATATATATATTATATATATATATATATATATATATATATATACTATACGACTACGACGACGAAGGTAGGAGGTAG